CTTTTCTTCCTTTCTTCTACCCGTGTCCCGTTGCTTTATCTTTTTTAATTTTTTTTTTCCTCCTCCTTTTGGTAAGGGGAAAAACATGCCTATTCTTTAGAGTGGTTCTAATGAGACAGCTTTGCTAAAAGGCACAAACTCAGGATGTTTCAAGTAAAATTAGTCGTACTGAAGAGTTGGTCCTGTCAAGTCTAGAACACTTTGAAATATACAGAAATAGCCTTTTGTTCAATAGATGAATGAATTCCACACTTTGATGATGAGATAAACAAGCCTCTTAGGGATTTTCCAGTCAGGAGTTGGACATGTTCAATATCAGGCCAGACGAAATAAAATATAACAGAAGGCCTTTAGAGCCCAAAGGAAGAAATTTTTAATTTCCACTTAGAGGTGGTTTTTAAGCTGAATTTTAAATTAACATGATTTTAATAGTGAATAAGATAAATGATGTGACTAACCTGAGGGAAAGCGTGGTGAAAAGTATAAGATGTGATTTGGCGAATGAGTAATAGTAAAGGGTATAAAAAATCTAAATACAGGAACAGGCAACTTAGAGATGGACAGGTGGGCCACAGAACTCTACAAAGGCAGGGAACTCAGTGTTTCACTGTGTCTAGTAGAGTGCTTGGCACACAGTAATGAGAGCTCAGTAAATATTTGCATGGATGGAAGACTGGATGAGTGAATGATGAGTGGGTGCATGGAGTGAGTTTTCTGAACTGAAGAGGCTTTGGAAGTTGTCTAGGCCAAACCACCATTTTTACAGATGAGGTAAGTGGAGCCCATACTAGTTAATAATAGAGTTGGAATACAACCCAGATATTCTGACTCCTAAATGAGTGAGTACCTTTTCCACTAATTGTCACCATTTAACTTGCTTTGAGCATTTACGATAAAATTTTACCTATTTCATATTCATTGTTTCCTTTTCAGGTTTTCCATTCTTCTGTCCCCTCCCCCAAGTTAGAGGTGGATGGGGTTTGATATTATGGGCAATAAAAGGCTTCTTGGGGTAGAGACCTGGAACCAAATTACTATTTAAATATTTACAATTATTATTTAAGTGTGACTTTACTGGAAAACGAATCCTTAATTCTAAGCAATTTAGTTTATGAGCATACTTTTGAAATAAATCACTAAAGAATTAGTAACTGCCTGGCTGTGTTGAGGCTATTCTTGAGAAATTTATAATTTTAATGAATTAAGAAAACCAGAAGTGAATAGCTACCTTTTTCTCCCTCTTCCTCATACACTGCTGTGTTCACCCCTGTCTTTTTTACACATGCAGTGTAACTCGACAGCTAATAATTTCATTCTACTTTGCTGTTTTTACATTTAGCAATAATAACTCCTGATAACTTGTCAATAATGCTTTGCTCAACCAAGCATTCCTTTCTGGAGAAGTCTCCGGAGCTAATACCTGAAAATTCAGTGGACTTTTGGCCATCCAGAGTAATCTGGAAAGCTTCCAAGTAGCTTAAATTTAGAGAGATATTCTTAAATTTTAAAATTTTTCTGTATCTTTTAAGTAATTTCCTAGGTTATCAATTTAATAAAATACAGTAAATACAATTTTTAGGTAATTTTTTGTACTCTGAGAATTTTTCTACACATACTATATATGGTAATATATGGTTAATATATTATTCTTTACTCATATGAGTGTAGAGAGAAGCTTTATTCTTGAATCCCTCTTGTCACTGTTTCCTAGCTCAGACTCTGAAGTTCTGACGTGGACGTTAGCAACAGCCCAACTGCTTTTCCTGAGTCTGGTTGCTCTGCTGCTCAATTCGTCATACACATTGCTGCCAAATCTTCTTTAGAAATACTTCAGTGTTCTCCTTTCTCAAAAAGCCTCTCTGACTCTGCTTTGCCTCCCAAATAAAGTATATTCCATCATTCAAGGCCTTTCAATTCAGTAAATACAACTGAACACCTGTATGTGCCAGGCATTAAACTTGGTGCTTTCTGTGATGTTGGACCTAACTGACCTTCCCATGCATTTTGCTCATATGGTCCCTCTAATTGAAATGCCCGTTTCTTCTCATCACTCCAATTTCTACAAGACCAGAGGCTACCCAGTCTTTCAAGTCCATTTCTCAGTATCACATCCATTATGAAATTGCCCTAGTTCTCTTCTACTCTCTGCTTACCGTTGCCTCAACAGATGTAGTTTTTTAAAAAATATTCTCTATAGTGCTTTATTGGTAATTCTTTTATTGTACTTTCTACTTTGTGTTACGGTTGTGTTTATCCGTTGTCTCTCCTATTCAACTGTAAGCCCTTTTATCATAGCATCCATCTGTTTATTCTTTGCATCTCTCACAGCACCTAGTCTGTTTCCTGGTATACTAAATACATACTTGAATAATTGGATGTACATTTTATAAATAGCTCACCTTTAGTTTCAGCATCTTGAATGAAAAGGCCAGTTATATTTACTGACTTAATTTTATTTTGCTAGAAATTGAAAGCTTGATATTGTGAAGCAGTTTTTAAAATAGCCACAACTATATTATATTTATGGTTAGTATAAGCTTGCTAATGGGTAATTATAATTTTATTTATTTTACTGTGTGCGGTGCAGGAACAGACTTTATTAACAGACGAATTGTTTGTTCTTTTTTTAAAGCATTAATATATAATTTTAAGTAATTGACTATTTTCTTTCGTAGTGCATTTGCACAGTATAACTTGGACCAGTTTACTCCAGTAAAAATTGAAGGTTATGAAGATCAGGTATGTTTCATATAAACACAGTGTCTGGCTATTCTTTGTTTTGATTATCACAGTTAGTGTATCCTGTAAGAACTGTGAAGTGATATACTTGAAGATAAAAAATTATTTGTTTTAATCATAGCCACTTATGGACAAAGTAATTGAAAATTTAGTCTCTTTTGTTTATGCCAATAATGCTATTAGCAGAAAGTCCCTTTTAGAAATACTCAGATGTAATTCATTTAAGATTTTAGAAAATAATTGCTTTAAATCTACTTTCTTGTTTTTTATAGGAAAAAAAATCAATCCTATATTAATCCAAAATCTAGAATATATATTAGTAAGATTTATATCAGTATTTGGTTGCTCTGGAATTCTACAGTTCTTCATGTGAGTAATTTAGCATTTAGTAATTATTAAATCTTTTCTTTCCAAAATGCAAGTTAAAATTGCTAAGCTAAGAAAAGCCACAAAAGGTTACTGGCCTTTTTCTTTTTTTTCTTTTTTTTTTTTGGTTTAGAGTTACAAATAATTAAATAGTGATTGTATCAATTAATATTGTGCTTGCATGAAGCACAATTTATATAAAACAATATGAAGAAGGAACTGGTAGGTAGAACATAAGAGAAAGTGGTTAAGAAAGAACATAGGAGAAAACTCTTAGTAGCTAATTGTATCAAAGTTTGTGTTTGACATTCCTTATGTAATATATAGTCTTAAAGTTACAGGGGAAAAAGTAAGACTAGATAGAAGATGACTTGTAACTGAAGGGAAAACTTAAGCTTACGTATAGATATGCATGTGTGTATATAGTGTTTCCTTGTATTAATCTCCTAAACTTATTTTGTTTCTCTCTTGGAAGATTTTGGGTTTTTGCTTTTTCTTTTTTGTTCTTGTTTTTACTGCTATAAACATGCTGTATAGAACATCTCTGTACCTTTCATCCCATTGACAATTATTTTCTTGGGATGAATCCCTAAAAGAAAATTTGCTGGGTCTTTTAAAAATGTGGGATAGCTTCCAGAGTCATTTTATGAGTCTACCATAATTTTAATACTTAAACCTAAAAAGATAAAAAAAGGAAGCTCATGTGGATTGTAGGTTTAAAAACTTTAAATAAGATATTAACAAATATAGTCAAAGAATAATATACCAAAACTAAATAGAATTTTTTTTACAGAAATGCAAGAATAGTTCCATATAAGGCAGTCTATATTGGTCTTACATATTAACCAGCCAATTAAAGAGAAAAATCTTACGATGTATCAGTAATTGGATTTTAAAAGTCCAACAGCTATTTCTCATTAAAAACAAAAACCATAAGTAAAATAAGAATAGGAAAAAACCTCTTATATATAATAGACTATTTAGCAAAAACCAATAGTAAATATCATAAACTATAAACACTAAAACAATTTTAGTTAAAATTAGAAATGAGCTAGGTATGTCTGCTTACCAGCATTATCATTCATCATAAATGGAGGTATAGCAAATAGACAAGAAAATGAGAACTTGTAAAGCTTGCAAAAGAAAATTCTTTGGTGACATGATTTATATATTTAGGAATACCAAGAGACTCTAGCAGTATAACTCCCCAACTAAAAAAAGCTATTAGACTTATTAAAAGAATTTGATGGATTTAAATAAAAGAATTTGGTAAGGATGCAGAACTCATTAGCTGTTCTTTATTGCGGCAAATAAGTACCCAAAACTAGAAATGGTGGGAGTCAGGGTGGGGCAGGCAATTCCATTTAAAATAATGGTAAAAATCATTAATTTAGGAATAAGCTTAACAAGAAAGTCAAAGGATTATGAAGAAAATAGTGATGATCTGCTTGAAACACATAAAATAGGATCTGAAGAATGGAAAGGCACACTACATTCCATTCTTAGAAAATTAAGTTATGTAAAAATTGATACATGAATTTGATGCAATTTGAGTTAGAATCCTGATTAGTTTTTTTAAATGGTCAATGTTTTCATAAAGTTTATGTGAAAACAATATATGCTTGAAATAACTCAAGAAATGTAAAAAATAGAACTGTAAGAACAGTCAGGGAGAATTGCCTTAGTAGATAGTAGAAGTTGTTTTACAACCAAGGTAAAGTGAAGTCAATGTGTGTATTACGTAGAGTAGACAAATAAATCAGAAGAGTAGCACAGAGAACCATACTTTAGTCCCAGAATATATGAAAATTTTTATGCAGATATTGGCACAACTAGTTTCTATCAAGAAGAAAGGTAAGTTAGACCTCTGTCTCACTTATAGAAATAGATTTGAGGTGGTTTAAAAATCTGTAAAGTGACTAAAATTTTCGGGGAAAATCTGAGTCTACATGTATATTGTAGAGGCAGGAAGACCATCTTAAATAAGACTAGAAACCCAGAAACTATAAATGAAAAGATGGACGATTTACTACATATGAATGTATTTAACTGTAGTATGAAACAGATACCATAAAGGACTCTTACAAATTGATAAGGAAAAAAACCAACCCAGATTAAAAATATTCAAGAATATTTGCTCACAGAAGAGTAAATGACCCATAAACGTGAAAAGATATTTAGATCTATCAGTAATCAGAGAAATAAAATTAAAATATTGATATATGTTATACCCATCGGACTGAAAAGAGAGCCTATTGATGGTGGTGGTATGGAGGAAAACATACTCTCACATTGTTTGTAGAAATGTGGATTATCACAGCTGTTTTTTGGAATACAATCTAATTATGTTTAAAAATTTTTAATATATAAACCTTTTACCTGCTGTCCCCACCGCCACTGTTTGGGCATCTATCCAGTAGAAATAAAAAAGCATCCAGCCAGGCATGATGGCTCACGCCTGTAATCTTAGTACTTTGGGAGGCCGAAGTGGGAGGATTGTTGGAGGCCAGGAGTTCAAGATCAGCCTGAGTAACATAGCAAGACCCCTCATTTCTACATTAAAAAAAAGAAGAAAAGAAAAATTAGCTGGCTATGGTAGCATGCACCTGTGGTCCCAGCTGCTTGGGAGGCTGAGCCAGGAGGATCACTTGAGCCTGAGAGTTTGAGGTTGCAGCAAACTACTATGATGCCACTGCACTCTAGGCTGAGCAACAGAGCGATACCCTGTCTAAAAAAAAAAAAAAAGAAAGAAAGAAAGAAAGAAAACATCCAATGGAAATAAAAATATCAGCATGTTAAAATATATGTACAACAATAATTATTAATATTTCATCACTTTTAATGTATCCTTCCCTCCCCCAAAAAACAAACAGCCTAAAAATAAGAGATGATGGTATATCAATAGTGGATTAGCAGAATAAATTTTATGTTATATCCACATCATGGAATATTATGCAGCTGTTAAAAAGAATGGTGAGAAGTATATCAGTTGACTTTGAGGGATTTCCATAAGGTGTTTATGTTGAAAAAAGTCAGGGCAGAAAAGAGTGTGTGTGTGCGCACACGCATGTGCATATGCACATTTTCTTTCCATTCTTATAAAATAATGACCAAAAAACTCTGTGCTTTTAGGTATAGACATGTGTATATATTTATCTATGTAGGATTTTATGACTATGAAAATATTTAGAAGGGAACAGCCTATGTTGTTAGTGTGATTTACGTCAGAGGGATGGGTTAAGTCCTGACATAAATAAGGTGTTAAAGATTGGGAGAATTTCGAAGGAAGGAAAAAGGAGGGAAATATTTAAATAAAGCACAAAATACCAAATTTATACATGTATAATTTAAATGTATGTAAATTAATTATGTTTTTAAAAATTTTGAAGCCGATTAGAAACAAATGTTGATGATTAGTTTATAAGAAACAAGAATATTGCCCAGGAGCAAGGGTAGGACACACTGAAGAGGATTCTCCTGGACTAAAGCCATTCTTGTAACCACGCTGGTTGGAGGTTATTATGAGTTCTTTGCTTTTGAGGAACTGGAGCCTGATATTAGAAATAATAAATTGTTATAGTTCTCAAAGCAAAATACTGACTCCGGCAGTGTTTTAGAGAATGCATTTTTTCACGAGTAGCTGGGGGTTATATTGGGAGAAAATCTGATCCGTACTGAATGAGAGTAGCCCAATTGTCTATATAGTCTGCTTGTTTGAAGTATTATAGTTGTACCATATAGTTAAACCAGTCGCTTGGAGTAAGATTGTTTTATAGTTTTAAAGAAAAAGCTTAAATGAGTGTATAGTATTATGTATCTGTATTTAAATGCTGTTTTAAATCCTTTTTTCTAAATTCATTCCATCATTGAAGGTATTGATAACAGAACATGGCGACTTGGGAAATGGAAAGTTTTTGGATCCAAAAAACAGAATCTGTTTCAAATTTGATCACTTAAGAAAGGAAGCAACTGATCCAAGACCCTATGAAGCAGAAAATGCAATTGAATCTTGGAGAACTTCAGTAGAAACTGCTCTGCGAGCTTATGTAAAAGAACATTACCCAAATGGGGTCTGCACTGTAAGTCATCAGTAGCAGCTTTTTTCTTTTGTGTCTTATGTAAATGTGAGCATGTTTTTATGGTCTCCTGAAATTTATAGTAACTTAAGGAACTAACATTTTATAACTTGTCACTTTTTTCCTTGAAGTATTATAAGTATTTCTAAGAACGCTTACTATTTTTTCAAAGAAATTCTGGATAGTAAATAGATATATTATGGTGGCTTGAAATGGAAAAATGATTGTACCTTGAATTAAATCCATGTAGAAATTCTAATACACTGATTAAAGGAACATGACATGAGATTCTTTAACCTTATGTTCATGACTCTGTGAGTTGAGATCAAATTTCTTTTTATGTAGTTATAGCAATCTTAGAACAAATAAAATATTTGGAAGTGAAATCATGTCCTTAGGTGTTTTATAGTCACGTTTCTTTTGTTTTTTGGTGTGGTTCTTTCATAAGTTTAACCTATTTTTATATTTTCAGGAAATATAAAATATGGTAGAAAGTAGGAATACTTTTTTTTTTTAAGTTTTATAAGATCGTTTGTTTCCAGACAGGCTTTTTAGCACCCCTGTTTGTGCTTTGGTGGTATCCTTCATCACTAGAGTGATCTTTTGAAATGCAAACCAGATCATGAAAATCCCCTGCGTGAAATGCTTCAGAAATTTCCCATTGCACTTAGGGTAGAGTCCAGGCTTCTGAACATGGCTTACAAGGCCCTGTGTACATGGCCTCTGCTTACCTCTGCAACCTAACTCAACCGTGCATCCTAGTTTATACCTGGTTTCTCAACATAAATATTAATATCACCAATAGCATCCCATTTCTTTCTCAGGTTTTTCATGGTTAGGACAAAAATTCTTCCTAAATGTGGTCTGCTTAAGTATCTAGCTTTCAGTAATTATTTGAGAAATATAGCAACATAACCTAAAATATATTCCATGTTATTTGAATTATAACTTGTTGATTAGGATTATTTTGGAAGAATAACTCAACAAGTTTAAGGGAGTAATTGAATAGAGAGCCCTCGTTTTTTTTTTCTTGGAGGATTGAACGTCACAAGTTAGTCATTACTTTTAAAGCAATAGGCAGGAGGTGAAATAACATCATCACACATCACAGGCATTCTCTTAATGACCTTTCTCAGTTATAAGTAAATTAATTTTCTCACCCTTATCCCAATACTTTTTAAAATGACTAGAGAAAGAGTAGCCCCTAAGATTGTGAGGTGAACAGAAGTGATAAACACTAGCTAAGTCCAGTTTTTAATTGGATGGAAACAGCTACATTGGTATCTATATGTTTAAAATATCTGCTTCCTTGAAATGAAAGCATGATCTATCCAGGATACTTATGAATATTTAGAGTATAATTAGTTTTACTCAATAAATTATATTTTATTAATTGTTCTCTTTTGTGATCCACTAAGAATTTGAGTAGGTGTACATATTCGAGGACTTGTTTTTCTAGCTACTGTATTGGAATGATGGCCTATTTTATATTCTTTTATGTGTTCCTGTCAAAATACTATACAATTTTCAGTGTTTTATAGGTGTTTAAAGTTGGACGTTCTGACTGGTAAATTCACTCTTGTGCTTGTTTTCTTTGCCAATAAGGTGTATGGTAAAAAAATAGATGGACAGCAAACCATTATTGCATGCATAGAAAGCCATCAGTTCCAAGCCAAAAACTTTTGGTAAGTTAAAATTTTGTGTGTTGGGGAATTTTGGCATTGTTTATATTATTTGTGGTTCTTGCTTTAGTGATTGTAGCTATACCTTGTTTGTGTATGATTGTCTAAGAACAATCTAACATGATATAAAACTTTAGCCTTTGATATTAAAAAAGGCATTTGCTCCATAACTGGTCTAATCATCAAAGGTAGCAGTAAATCCATTGACATTGAAAAAAGTGTCAAGGAGCATAGTGTTTTTGGAGACTGACAAACAGCATCCTAAGGGAGCGTGTGTGCCTACAAGCAAACCAGTTGGCATTCTGAGAAGGGGCTGCTCCTCAATGAAACTTACATGGAGGAGGAGGACAGAAGTAATTATTAGATCAAAAAATGATGCTTCTTTTGTGAACTTTGGGGACTCTAAAGTAGAGGTTTTTATGGGGATTGCTTTGTGCTTGGTTAGCCAACGTAAGGAAGTATTGACATGTTTTATACAATGAGGCAAATTACAAGCATGCCTTGTAATTTTGTGTACAAATTAGTCAACTATTCCTTACAAAAGTCAAGCCCCCCCAGAGCACTGATTTGCCCTATTAATCTTGGACCTTTGACTAGTTGTTGGTCCTTTTTATTCTTAGACAAAACTATTTGTGAGATATATGCCTGTTTTGAAGTTCTCCAAGACTTTACAAGTTCATAATTGAATTAAGTCTTTGCATTTATAGCCCCCTTTTTTGTTAATACATGCTGAGATCAGCAGAGTAAGTACAGTCATAATATTTACCTTTTAAGTACATTAGTCTTCGACTCATTAGCCAAATTGGTTGGTGGTGCTATTGAGGGTAAAATAACAGGTATCAGTAACCCCTATGGGCCAGTTTGGTCCATGGCCCAAGGTTGTTCCGCTGCTTAACCATCTCAGAAATAAATGCAAGGTTACAAGGTTAACCAAGAATATTTGGAGGAATGCAGATCCATCATCACTGAAGGAAAATCAATTCCATATGTAAACATATGCTTTAATGACAAGCTGCAATATCTTAAAGATTCTGGCATACAAAGTTACTTTCATGGACTTAATATAAATTTAGTTTCTCTAAGTCTAAAATCTTGTAACATTAACCTGTCAAAATCTTAAGGCAATAAATCTTTGTAAAATTATTATTAATTTATGCTGTTTGTGCCAGGAAATATATAATAAAATCAGTCTTGTTGAGATCACATTACTATTAAAAGAAAATTCTCGTTACTAAATTTTATTTTAAAATACATTAAAGATGTTATAATAAATTTACTAAAATATATAGAAAAAATTAGCCGGGCGTGGTGGCGCATGCCTGTAGTCCCAGCTACTTGGGAGGCTGAGGCAGAAGGATTGCTTGAGCCCAGGAGTTTGAGGTTGCTGTGAGCTAGGCTGACGCCACGGCATTCTAGCCCAAGGCAACAGAGCAAGAGCAAGACTCTGTCTCAAAAAAAAAAAAAGGAATTGTTATAAAAAAGGCTGTCAGAAAAATGGGAGAAAATTCACTGGTGGACAAAAATTAATAAGATATCTATTTGTAATTTTTCAGTTTCCTACCATGAATATGTATTAATTTGTATACCAAAACCAGCTCTGGAATGTGAAAGGAGGATGTGCCTTTCATGTGGAGACTTTAAACATAAAATTGGAAAAGGAAAAAAAAATCTGGTAGAAAAATATAAAGTAAAAAATATATGAAATCTATAGCCCTTTCTTTCTAGATATCAAAACCTCCTTAAATGGTTGTATAACATTTATTAACCATTCTTTTTAAATTATTTGGTACTTTGTATCATTCAGTAGATGTTAAACTGCACTGACCATAGTTGTGAAAGTCCTGATAATCAACATTTATTCCATATATTCTGAAAGCATAAAGTGATTCATTCAGTTGAAGAAGTAGCTTAAAATTTTTCTCCAAGAAGTAGCTTATATGATTGAGTTTTGAATTGTTTTTTAACCCTTAGCTTTAGAATTCTGAAGTTACATCCATTATGTAAGTCCTTTCTTATCAGTAAGGTGAAGATTAAATTAAATATGTATCATAACCAAACTTAACCTTTTGATTCTTTTGAATATTTCAGTGATTAAAAAAATGAATGTCCTGCATTCATCCCAGACACTCTCGTACTGTAGCATTAAATTTAAATGTGAAACTTAAAATTGATTCAAATTATTTTCCCTACCTTATTTACAGCTGCTGTTTTTATTTTTAAGGAATGGTCGTTGGAGGTCAGAGTGGAAGTTTACAATCACTCCTTCAACCACTCAAGTGGTTGGCATCTTGAAAATTCAGGTATGAAATAAAATGAATTTGTTTACTGATTTCTAGGTGATTCTTAACAGAAAAACAGCTAATTCATAAGTTGACATTTTCATAATACACCATACCTTTTCTTTCCTAGATCTTTGTTTTGGGGTAATGGGAAAAACAAGTAGTGCTGTTTTAAATCTTCTAAATAACCTTGCAGTATATTCGCTAATCATCAGAAATCTGCAAGGATAGCTGACAGATGATAAAACACAGCTAAAATTAGATGCTACCATTTGGTCTGCTCAATTTGTTCATCCAAGCATCTTCTCAGTTTGAGTTGTCACTTCTGTCATCTGAACTGGGTGGAGTTCAGTGAAGTATAATATTAATGTATGTGTATATGGGTGTATAAATATTATATGTGTATATATTATTATATATTTCCTATGTCTTTTAAATATCTTCTGTTCTCATATTTGGCTTCTTACATGAAGCCCACTAGAATTGAATTCTTTGACTCTTAGTGAAAGCTCAGATGTTATATATAGAAGACCATTTGATAACTGGGGCCAAATATTTGAAGATAAGCATTACTAAATAAGTTGAAGGAAAGTACTAACTAATATTTTTCTATCATGGTTCATTTATTCAATACATTTGTTGATCAACTATCGTGAAAGATATTGTAAGAACTATAAAGGAATAAAGATGAATCAAATGCTGCTACTGTGTCATCTGACTCCAGTATGCATATCTCGTCTTACATTGTATGGCCTTTATGTCTTGGTACCTATCCCTTAAGGACTAGCGAACGGAAGTTAAAAATATGGATTTTCAAACCAAACTGCCTAAGTTTGAATCCGAACTCTGTCAGTTAGTAGTGGTGTGATATCAGGAAGTCATTTAAGCTCTTTTTGTTTGTTTCTTCATCTGTAAAAAAACTATTAAAAAGCTCATATGATTGTTTGAAGATTAGTTAATATGGGTAAAGTGGTTAGAATAGCCAGAAACAAAATGCTCAATGAATGGTAGCCGTTATTGTTAACATTATTCTTTCTTTTAGTTAGGCTTCAGTAGATCTTACCTGGATCATTATAGCAATTTCTAAAATAGTGCCCTTGTTGGACCAAAGCTTGTTGAGAGCAGAGATTTTCTGGTTTACAGTTCTATCTTCAGCGCTGAGCATAGTGCCTAGCATATAATTGTGACTTTTTTTTGTTGAATTGCTGGACCCTTTGATATGCCCTAATCCATTTTTTCACATTGCCATCAGAAATAATTTTTTGTATTTAAGTCTGGATATGTTACTTGCCTACTTAAGACCATTTAGTAGTAGTACACTCACCCCTACCAGATAGTACAGCATATTTGCATGGCGTACAGGGTCCAAAATTGACTTGTTTACTACCTATATATATTTCTCCAGCTGCTACTGTCCCTCCTCCACCTCATATAATTCCAGCCATTGCTTCCAGTCCTTTCTGAAATATCCTTTTTTGCCCTCAGAGAGAGTCTGGAGTATTGTTAACATATTTTGTACATGCCTCTACTATGTTGTGTTAGTATATGACGTCAGGGACAGTGTCTTTTTAAAAGCCATGTATCTCTAGAACCTTATGTGGTAGTGATTTGTAGCAATCACTCAATTAATATTTGTTGAATAAATTCATGCCTGTGAGTTTGGGGAATTAAATGAATGGTGGAAATACACAAAAGAAGAGCAGTGTTTGGGAAGGAATATTGTGCGCTCAATTTTGGACATCTTGGGTTTAGGTACCAACGGAATGGCTGTGAGGTAAAAATGTCCAACAGTCAAGTCAATGGAGGGCTTGCCTGAATAACTGCAGGAATATCTAAGTAGGCTCCTCATTTGGCTGAGGGCCGGAAAAGTCTTCCTGGAGTTTAAAGGTCAACAGCCCAGTAGAGAAGTCTAGGCTAGAGCTGAATTTGGTAGTCATTTGCATTGATGTGCTTGATGAAGCCGTGAAGGTCTTGGTGATTCCTATAATGTGGTTTCTATAATTTCTTTTTCTAACAGGTTCATTATTATGAAGATGGTAATGTTCAGCTAGTGAGTCATAAAGATATACAGGATTCCCTAACAGTGTCTGTAAGTAATTAATTCCACAATAAAATTTAAACAACCTAATACCAGAATGGTTTTGAAGTTAATATTTTAAGTAATATTTCTACTTCAGATTGAAGTGTTTTCAGATAGATTAAAGATAAGTAGTTGCAAATCTGTACTTAATTTTTTCACAGCTATATTGAGATTTAATTTCATAGACCATTCAATTCATTTAAAGTATAAACTTCAGTGTTTTTTAGTGTATTAACAGGATCATACAACAATCACCACAGTTCAATTTTAGGACCTTTTCATGCTCTTTAAAAGAAACCCCACACCCATCAGCAGGCATTCACCATTTTCCCCAGCTCCTCTCCCTGTCCCCCCAACACTAGGCAACTACTAATCTACTTTCTGACTCTATGTATTTGCCTATTCTGGATAGTTCATATAAATGCAATCATAATATGTAGTCTTTTGTGACTGGCTTCTTTCACTTAGCATGTTTTCAGGGTTCATCCTTGTTGGAGTATGTATCAATACTTTTTTCTTTATTGCCAAGTAATGATTGTTTCGTATGGACATACTGCATTTTATTTATCCACTCTTCAACTGATGGACAGTTCTGTTTTCTACTTTTTGCTGCTATGAACATTTGTGTGCTATTTTTTGTGTAGACATTTGTTTTAATTCCTCTTCGACATGTACATAGGAGTGGAATTTCTGGGTCATGTGTTAACCATTTAACCTTTTGAAGAACTGCCAGACTGTTTTCCATTTTACAGTCTCACCAGCACTGTAGAGGGTTCCAATTTTCCATGTCCTCGCCAGGACTTGTCTTTCTGATGATAGCCATTCCAGTGGGTATGAAGTGGTATCTTACTGTGGTTTTTATTTACATTTTCCTGATGGCTGAGTATCTTTTCTTGTGCTTAGTGTGGTCATTTGTATATCTTCTTTGGGGAAATGTCTATTCAGATCCTTTGCCCATCTCTTAATTGGTTATTCATGTTTTTATTATTGAGTTGTAATTGTTTGCACATTCTGTATACAAGTCCAGACTATCACATATGTGATTTGCAAATATTTTCATCCTTCTATGTGTTGTCTTTTCACTTTCTTGACGGTATTATTTGCAGAACAAAAGATTTTGGTATTGATGTAGTCTAAGTTTTGTTTTCACAATTTGTGCTTTTGGTATATTTACCATTGGCCAAAGTCAAGAAGATTTACTCTAGTGTTTTCTTCTAAGAGTTTTATAGCTTTAGTCCTTACCTTTAGGTATATGATCTTATACCTTACTTTAAACTGTATTGTATATTTTCTTCCTCTAGCTGTTTGGATTATGATTTAATGAAGTTTTTCTTAAGTTCCACTTTCAAATTGAAGAATTTTTGAACTTGTTTTTATTTCTCCACCGTTTTTTCACACATTCTTTCCATTGTATATGCAACTTTGTCCTTGTCGAGTTTTGTTTTTTTGTTTTTTTTTTTAGCCCCAATGATATTAACAGTATAATATTAACAGTGACACTTTCTCATAAACATTTGTGTTACGTACCTAAAAGTATCAGTGTATTGTAAACATCAACTGCTAATATACAAAATCAGCTAATTTACAAATATTAAAGAAAAATTCATTTTTAACTTAAGAAAGCTTTTAACTTTAAGAAACATGTGAATGTATTAGGACAGATGCTACCTGAGGAGGTACAGAAGCTGAATTTTTCTTAATTTTTCATTAGCTCTTAGGTGATTTCTGCTTTGACTTAATTGGTACTCTCCATGCAAAATTTGCCAGTGGAAAAAACTAATATCTGGTTTTCCATGAGACATTATATTCCATATAGTTATGTGTCATATGTAGTTATTTATTACATGTGATGCTATTTACATAACAAGGGTACTTGGTACTTTCTTCTTTGAGGTATTTGACATTGAACAATGTTGCTTTATCTCATAGAGTTTCCATTGTTTTTGGAGAGAGGAATAAAACTCACCGCTATTACATAAAGATGTGTATAAATGTGTATATATATACACATGCACATACACATACACATACACACACATAAAGTGGGCCAGGTGTGGTGGCTCACGCCTGTAACCCTAGCATTTTGGGAACCAAAGTAGAAGGATTGCTTGATTCCAGGAGTTTGAGACCAGCCTGAGCAACAGAGTAATACCCTGTCTCTACGAAAAATAGAAAACTTAGCTGGGTGTGGTGGTACTCACCTGTATTCCCAGCTTCTCAGTAGGCTGAGGTAGGAGGATCACTTGAGCCCAGGAGTTTGAGGTTGCAGTGAATTATGATGATACCACTGTACTCTATCTCAGGCAACAGAGCAAGACCCTGTCTCAAAAATAATTAATTAATCAATTAAAACATACAATGTTTAAGATATTAGAGAATTTTGCATTAATACTAATTTATAAAAAAAAATATATATATATCCACATTTCCAGTAACTTTATTATTAGGAAAAAAGCAAATAAACCCATATATTAGTAGGTTAAAAAATTTTTTCCAGAAGATATTTAAATAGTAAAGTAAATTCATGTTGAACTTTAAAATACACTCTTCCAAATTGGTAATTTTTTTAATATCACTGTGGTGCTAAATACTGTTCAGCAAATATTTAACAATATTTAAAGAGTCATTAATTAGTAATCTCTGCCTAACTTTCTTACCTGTAGATGTTGTGTTTTAGAATGTGTATTGTGTTCAAATTGAACTTTTCATCACTGTGTATTATTAAGATTTCACGTTCCTCAACCAGTTAAACACTCAGACCAGGCTTATTCTATATAGTCTTTTAAAATATTTTTGCCTGGTTCCCCTTGGACTTAGAATAATTGATCTGACAGTATTCACCCTTTATTTGTCATAATTTCCATTTTTGTTCACTAAATTATAACATTTCATTAATCATACATATAGTTAACAATAATAGAGGTTTAGTTTTAAATTACTATTTTATTTACTTTTGATTTTGTCTTTTATTCAGAATGAGGTGCAAACAGCAAGAGAATTTATAAAGATTGTAGAAGCTGCAGAAAATGAATACCAGGTATGATTTTCAAAAATATTATATAAGGCATATCACTTATGAATTAATGGCACTGAAATTTTGATTTTAGCCGTAGGCCTGAATTTTTTTTTCCACTATATAAGATAAAGTCTTTTGTTGTGTATTTACTTTTAGTACAAGGGCAGACCTGTTTAACTGTAGGCAAAAAGAGTGGCAAATAAATTCAGTTAAGAGTTTGTATTTTAAAAAATACTAAGACTAGGTTTTAGCCTACTGTGATTTCTGAATACAGATTGAGTATCCCTTATCTGAAATGCTGCCAGGATTTTTAAATGGCTGTTTTGCCTCTAGTTGGAAATTTTAATTCAGGAGATATTTTCTAAACCATTTGGATTATCTGTAATCTGATTAGATCACATTTCATTTTGTGCTCTACTTTTTACACTATGTATCAGCTTCTAAACAACACTCTTGAATTTAAGCGTTTGTGAATTGAATGAGTTCCTATTCCTTAAAAACAATAATTTACAAATTATTCTGACATAGTAAAATAGATTCAAAATAAGGACACACAAATATTAAATCTAATTTATAATTTTATTTCATTAAATGTAATTATTAAAAGTTATTGTAAGCTTTTTCTTTTAGCTGTTTTTAAATACTTTTAAAACCATGTCAAGATTTTTATTGACTGTTTTCAAACAGTGAAATGGCTGCTTAAATAAAGGTTGTCCTGGAAACATCTATGTGTTTTATAAATTGTTCTGTTCCTTTCCTTGGCTTTAAACTTCTAACTACTGTTTTTCATAGACTGCCATCAGTGAAAATTATCAGACGATGTCGGACACTACTTTCAAAGCCTTACGTCGACAGTTGCCAGTTACACGCACTAAGATTGATTGGAACAAGATCCTCAGCTACAAGATTGGCAAAGAGATGCAGAATGCATAAGATGAACATTGCATGACCGGATCATTTTAGTGTCTTTGCGTTAAAAAAAAATTATTGCAAAAGTATTCAGAACTGTCAAGCTGCCCAGTCAGATGGGCTTATGCCATTTAAAATCACTGTAATTAATTAGTTTGGTTAGAGCACAAAGCTTAGCTAATCAACCATTATTTTTCATTTCTTTTGTTCAAAGAGGATTGCAAATGAGTTTAGTTTAAATGTCTTTTACTTTCTGTTATGTCTTTCTTTCTTACAATGAAGAGATGATTCCTGTAGATTATGGTTAAAAGTTTTTGAAGTGTTTCAAAAATATTTTACTTACTTTAACCCTAAGATTGTTGTCTTTTGGTTTATGAAATGGGTAACTTTTGATATTTGCCCAGTTCTTTTTAATGGGGTCAATAATGGACATTATAGTTTAAGGTGGTTGATGGATTTAGCCATATATGCTGCTAAAGAAATTGTCTACCTTTCCCCCCTCACCTCTTCCATGTATGTAAGATTGAGATTAGAGGGAAAGCATTTTCTATATCAATTGTGTTTAAACCTTTCAAGAAGGTTATTTAGCTAGCTTAGTGTTTAACTAAACTTTTTTAAAATAAGGCGAAGGTCTAATGCTGTTTTGAGATTCTGAAATTACATGAAAATACTTACTTCAGAAATACATTTAATGCTTTTTTTTCTTGTGACAGTTACGCAAATTAGCTTGAATTCCATATGTCCCTGAGTTATTTTTATCATGAAGCCACAAATGTATTATAACAAGGCAAATTGTAATATATATAATCCTGAACTCATGATCATGTCTCAGTATTTTTTTCCCTTGGATTGAAAAGTACTGAAATTCAATGTGACATTAAAATGCAAATTTTCCTATTTATTTGAGTAGAAAATCACTTACCGGTGAGTCATCTACTATTTTAAAATACTTTGGATATTATAATTCTTAACTGGTTGTAAATTAGAAGAGCTGGGATTACATGTGGTGTGCAGTTACAGTCTAAATTTTTCCACCTTCCTATGCATCGTAAGCATGTTTATAATATTTTAAAGAATAGATTTACCGATACTACAGGAATTTCAAGCCTGTAGTGAATGTTAGTGTTTACTATAGGGAGAGGGGTGGATTTATGGTTTCCTTCAAAAGAGTATTGCTTATTATACTTGAGTGGAATCCTTTCCTCACGTACTCCTGCAGATGTCTGGGCCTGGAAATGTTTTTTTTTTTTTAAAAAAACACCACTTTTATTATGTACAATAAAATATTTCATTAGCTTGAATTGTATAGATTTTTAAAAATTCAATGAAAGCATGTTGTTTAATTTCTTTTTAAAATCACTGTTGGGCTTTGAAAGCATTGAGAATATAATATGAAATTATGACTTCTGGCTAAATCATTTTCATTTTAGTTTTAAAATACAAGTTTTGGTATATTGGGATTCCTAAAGAAGATGAATTGGTAACATTAATTATCTGTTCCCTTTTTTTATAGAGCTACTGGAAAAGTTTGATGATGATTCTGAACTAAATACTAGGTAAATCTGTAATTGATTAGCTTAGTTATATCAGTTGGGCTATTATGGGTTCGTATTCCATGAAGATCAATTACTTTGGCTGTTTTATAGCCTAGAATGCTTTCTTGAAAATATATACAACTGTTTTTAAAGAGATTTGCATGTGAAAGGGAAGATTTATCAAAAATAATTTGGAACACAGTCTGAAGTAATGATTGTGCAATAGATTATAGTTTAAGAATAGCATCTAATGTGAAAGAAGAATGAAACCCAAAGTATGCTAAATCTCAGGGATATAGTTTTAATAGGAACCATTAATGGCTACTGTGTTGAATGGCTGAATTATGGAAGTGAGGGCAGAATCAGGGAGAACTAGGAGGCTGTTGTGGTAATCCAGTTGAGAGAGAATGCTGCCTTGGGCTGAGGTGGTAGCTGTAGAGGTAGTGTGAAGCATTGAGTTCTGGGTATATCCTAGAGGTAAAATCAGCATGGTTGTGGAATGTGAGATAAAGAGAACCGTAGAGGACATTTTGGGCTTGAGGAATTAGGGAAGATTCTGGGAGGAGTCAGGTATATTGAGAGCAGGGGGCTGGTCTGGAGCTTGATTTTAGATTACAAGGGGATATATTATGTGGCAGTTATATACAGGAGATAAGAGCTAGAGGAATGTCCTGGGCTAGAAGAATGGGAGAGTGAATGAACCTGGGAAACAATTTGATGGACAGGCAAAACAAAGGACTCCTTGGGGTTAGTGATAATGAATTTCAAGTGAGACCAGTGAGTGTAGCTGTATGTTTTTCTTCAGCCGGCATAGAGTGCATGAATTGAATTTAACCGAAGTTGTGGTTTTGCCAGGAGTGGGTGACCGACCACATGGAGAGGGGCAAGGTTATAATGATGGTCTGTGGAATTAAAGCTGGGTAAGCAGGGAACTGAGGACGTGAGAGGAGGGGAGGGACAGTGTTGAAAATGTGGCACAATCAATCAGTGGATTACAGGTGCATTTAGAGTTGGTGGGACTAGAAGGAATGACCTGGAAATGTAAGAAATGGTGGTTAGAGAATGGTATGCTTAAAATTGAGATTTTGAGGAGTTAACAGTTACAAGTATAACCAAGGGAATGACTGAGGGAGGACAGGAGAGGAGTTATAGCAACTGTACAGCCTGGGGTTGGAAATAAATTTATTGTTTTATTTATTTATTAAAATCATTGACTTTTAATAACCACATTGAAAGCCTTAGCATAATATAAGATCCTTTTAAAAGATATTCCACGCTTATCATCAATTTGTGCTTTTGCCAACTATTGGGTATACGATATAAAGGCATATTCAGCCGGGAGTTAACACAGGTATTGTATAAAGCCCACGTTATGAAACAGCCCAAGAAAGATGTGTATTTCTGTTCACTTCTCTAAGATGGATTATTTAAAAGCAAGATCAACATGTACTTGCTAGTCTTAAAGTATAGATTTGGGGGCTTGAAACTAAGAACTTTTTAAAAGCAGACTCTTTGTATAGGTACATCTCCAAATTTGACATTCCGAGTATTATGAAAAAGCTTTATTGTAGTATTGGCTAGTAGTGCTATTGGAGAATATGCAAAATATTCACCACTTAAAAAAGCCAATTTTTAAAGGTCTAATTGGCATTAGAAATTAATGTCAGGTCATTCAAGATTAATCAAACTGTATTCAGAGGACTGTTCTAGGCATTGTGAAGTGCGGAAAATATAAAGCTTTCTTAAAGGAGTGTACAAACTAGTCATTGAACAATAGTGTTTTTCAACCTTTTTCACAACACAACTTATACAGAAAATGACAGTATTTGTAAGGCACACTGCAGGAATGGATAAGGCTGCTTGCCAGCTGCTGTAAGGGTTGAGGGGATTAGTATCTTGGCACATCTTGAGCCCATTTAGGAAGATGTGCCACGTATAACACAATAAAATGTTAATACTTCAAGATTGTTTATAAGATAAACTTCAAGCCTTACTTACCTCAGATATCTTTTAAAAGGTTGCAAAGGTAGGCTTTCTGGAAAGGATGAATTTTATTTATTTATTTATGTATGTATGTATGCATGTATGACAGGATCTCACTCTGTCACCTGGACTAGAGTTTAGTGGTGGGATCATAGCTCACAGCAACCTCACACTCCTGGGCTCAAGTGATCCCCCGCCTCAGCCTCCTGAGTAGCTGGGACTACAGACGCGCATCACCATGTCTGGCTAATTTTTTTATTTTTTGTAGAGACGGGGTGGGTCTTGCAGTATTGGCAGGCTGGTCTCAAATTCCTGGCCTCAAGTGCTCCTCCTCCCCAAGTGCTGGGATTAGAGGTGTGAGCCACTGTGCCTGGCCTTGGAAAGGATGAATTTTAAATTCTACTTTGGTACACTAATATTCTTGTAAGTTTGCGTGTAATTAGTAGGAAATCCTCTCTTATCTCAGTGAAGCACCAAAATACAGATAATAGGTTTCTAGTAAGGAAATGTGATGGATCAAAGAGCATTATCCAGTTCAAAACTAAATCTGACTTTTTTTTTAACACGTACCACTGTACAAAATAATACAAAGTTAAAAATAAGTGTTCTTCTAAACTATAATATGGCTTATGATATGTTAAAATATTTTTATCCCTAGTTTTAGTATAACCTGAGTATGCTAGTTAATGTCATTTTTGATTCTTTTGCAGTGTGCCTATATCAGAGAACTCATATTTTTTCACACAAACTGACTAGAAAGGACATATATCACAGATGCCAAATCAGCCGCTCACTCTAATAATGAGACTACGTCAAGTTAAAGCACTCTGGTAAATAGAAGACTGTTAAGGAAACAAAATTGGTATATTAATATCTTAGAAGATTGATGGGAAAATTTGTAAAATGTCCAGCTCTTAAACCAAATAAATTTTCAAGAAGTTCTTTTACTGCAAGGATACCCCTAAAAGTCCTACTGACTAAACAGTGTAGAGTGTTCAACCTTCCTCTTGTGCTTCGTGTTTCGTGCCACTAACTTACTAGCCTAGCAGAATCTGAAGACTGATCCGGGTCTCTTCCATCCCAGACTTTTACCTGCACAGATCCCAAAACCATACTAGAGAGAAATACCCAGGAGCTACAGCTGTCTTAGGTATAAATTAAATACTTAGGAAAAACTTTAGTTCTTTTAAAATACACTGCAAAATATAGATGAGTGTTCTGAGATACTAAAAGTATTCTCAAATGAGGAAAAAGCAAAGAAAAGAAAATCCCGCCCATGTGAACTCATTTTTCTCTCACTTTGGGGCTTTACAGAGGAGAAAGAAAAAGGAAATAGAATTTGAAGGAAACAAATTTCATTCCAGAGACTTGTAATGGCAAAAACCTTAAGCCAATCTAAATATTCAGCAACAGTGAATGAGTACAGATGCTGTGGTTTGTTGATACTGGGATAATATACAGCTTTTAAAACCTTACGAATCAGAGCTTCATGTAGTCACATACTATAAAAATTCATGTTGAGAAAGAAAAGTTGCTGAAAGGTAAGTACACTATGAGTGCAAGTGTAAAGGTCTGCAAAACAATGCATGCATTTTATCATGTATAGTGGATGCATAAAGCATGTAATGGGATTAAAAACCAAATCAGGATAGTGTATGTATGAGGAGGAACATGAGAGAATGGGATGCGGGGCCAGTACAGAGGAATTCAGTTGTATCTATAAGAATTTGTTTCTTAAACTGGGTGATAAGTATACAAGTGTTATTAGAATATTACCAGTTTTTTATGTCTGATATGTTTTGTCAGTTAATTTTACAACTTACGCTGACACATTTGGAACTCCACATGAAAGGAAATATAGTTGACCCTTGGATAATGTGGATTTGAACTGTGCAGGGCCACTTATTTGCAGATTGTTTTTCAACCAAACTTGGATGGAAAATACAGTATTTGTGGCATGCAAAACCCACATATAGAGAGGGCCAACTTTACAGATACATGGATTTTGCAGGACTGACTGCGAGACTTGAGTGTGCACAGATTTGGGTATACGTGGGCAGTCCTGGAACCAAGACCCTTGCATATCCCAAGGGGCAACCGTGCATGCAAAAATTGACTCGGGCAAAGGTAGAAAAATGACAAAGGTCATAACCGTAGAATAATTGAATAGAAAGTTTACTGATATTCTTTAGAAAATCATTGGACTCAATGTTTTATAGTAAATTGTGTTCAACTTTCCATATACAGATAATTTTCTTCGTTATAGAAATTATTCTAGATGGTAGAAAAACAAGGATATCTATTTTATGAAATTGCCATAAGCTTAAATAAGAATAGCACTCAAAGAAAACTGATGAAACTTCCTTGTAAAATTAAAAGCAAA